ATCATATCCAAAGGGAAATGATAGAGCATATGGGTATGTTTGATGCAGCGTTGGTGTTGCAGTATATCTTCATGCTGTGTTGCAACACTATTTATGGCGATATTCGGGACGTCGTTTTGAAATATGCAATGTCAAATTAGTGCATTTTGCAAACTCTTATATCTCACTAAGGTCTACAGTTCCGAGGTCTTCTATCTTCGACTTGAAAGGAAGGCAACGAACAGTACACAGGCAGAGAGGTAGAAACGAAGAAGAAGGGATGGAAAACCTAGAAGGCTGCCAATACATTAGTTCTGGAAATGTTGTGTTAGAGCAACTCAAAGTGAACAGACGACAAAACCTGAAATAAACTGAAAAGAAGATGATCTGAATCATAATGAACGACTGTGATCAATCTGGGAGGTTATATTTTTTTCTATGGTTGAGATGGAGAGATGGAGAGTAAAAGGATGTTGAGTTGCAGGTGCATCTTTATCACTCCCTCTTCGGGGAGTTGATGACGGATTCACATAGAGTTAAGAGAGCTCGAAGTTAGTGAAACCTTAGAGTTGGTAGTGCTTTGATGAAGATGTTAGCAGATTGATATTTTGTTGAAATGTACACTAGAGAAATTTCCTTGGAGAGAATATATTCATGAATAAAGTGATAATTGATTTTGATGTACTTATTTTAGGAGGATAGAGGGGGTTGTGAGCAATAATTGCCATGATGGAAGCGTTATCACAAAATATGATGACAATTGTATTTGTAGAATTATGAAAGTTATGGAGGAGACGATGAAGCTAGATGACGTCTGTCGCTCCTCAAGATATTGCTATGTATTCAACTTTTGTGGAGGAGCGAGCAATGGTAGGCTGCTTTTTGACGTACCAAAAAATCAGGTTAAGGGCCCAAAAATGAACAATATCATGTGATGGAGTGGTAGTACAATGTGTCGCTTGCCCGCCTGGAATCATAATAGGCATGTAAAGTAAGAGGTCCCTGCTTGAGAGGAAGGTCAAGTGTTTTAATTTGTTGTTTTTTGGTTCTTTTTAACCTTGGATTCGTCAGCTTGTCTATTTTGTATCGTCGTATGATTCCCCATTTGAATAAAACTCCCTCCTGGATCGTATAAGCGATCTGAAGAGAAGAGGAACCAAAGGGAAAAGATATACGACAAGAGATAGACGAACAATTAAAAAGAAACATGAAGTTCTAATATAGGGGTAATCCTCGTGTGATAGATCTAGAATATACGTTTGAACAAGATAAGTTCAAAATACTTTGAATCCAATATCCACAAAAAAATCCTTATGTAAGCTACCCAAATCAGAGAACCAAAATGAACACTTATTGTTTTGGGGTCAAGAGCGCTCCCAAAGGAACATACCTCTTTGGTTAATGGCATCTCTAGCAATACCCGAGAATACTCTCAATAAAGGAGTTCAGCTTGCTTTATAGTGATAATCGATAGATGGGGCAGCAAAGGATGGTTATTTCAACAAAGGGAATCTCACCACTTTGGAAGCTACAGAGATCCACCTGGGAGACAGTGAGTCCCTTAAATCCATGAGTGGATGGCGACACGTAGATAGGTGATATTCGGTAGAATGATCCGAAAAGATGGACGTGTCATGGAGGCAGGGGCCCAAAAAATGATTGTGTCATGGATGGCATAACCCGAAA